CTTGATTATAACTGAAAACGCCCAAAATGACAAAGTTGTCATTTTGAGTTTTCTTTGTAAATGTTTAATGTATTTTCAAAAATGCGTTTTCGAAAATAGAAAAAAGAACACGTTTTCACTATTTTGGAAAATCGAAAACAGAAAACGGCTTGAAAACAGCAAAGAGAACAGGTCCTAATATGTTGTGAATTTCAATTTGTATAACGATTTATTGGTTTCATTTATGTCTAATCTGCATTTCAGTTCAGCCTTTTGTGAATGAATTATGAAGCCTTTGAGTTCAGTTCAACCTTTTTGTGAATGACAAGAACTTTATGGCAAAAAAGGGTCTCAAGGAGTGGAGAGAGCAAATTTCTCCTCTGTACAAGGTGCATTACTTGGAGAACAAAGGACAGCTTCCTTAACTAAATATCCCAAAGCCTAACTTCACTATTTGATGCAAGAAGGTTTTGTTTAACAAAACGCTGCACAAGCATAATAAATTATGCTCCTATCAGTAGTCCAGAAATGGACTATCTGCCTAGCAGGTAGAAAAAATGAGCTTGATCATAATGATATCCATCTCAGCCAATAAGCTATGCAAAGATCTTCTATGACATTAATGGCTTGATTTGTATATTTGCTCATCACTTCATTCGTAGTAAAGTAATACGTATATGATCAATATGCTGAATAGTAAAATGAGAACAGATATAAAGCAACTTCCAGAATTGATTACCTGTTCAAATGTTTGTTTTCCTTTTTTTAAAAAAAAAAAAATCAAGCTGCCACGTCAACTGATTTCAAATTCCTGTAGTCTTTCTGTGAGAAAATCCTGTACCCATAGCATTATTTAAGATAAAAAGAGAAAAAATGCATAGTCCAATCATCTGCGATCACATCAGCATCGGTAAAAGTTCTATAAAAAATTCCCTGCACTCATAGTTTTTTCCGTCTTGATTCATCACATAAAATTTTCAAAAAATTCATAATTCATAATATATTATATCACATCAAGTGAAAATCATTTTTTACACGATTCTATACTTATTATAATTTAATTACTTCAACAATTCCTTATTTTTCGTTTTTCAATATATTTTTAATTATTTCAATAATATCTTATTTTTCCTTTTTCAATATGTAGTTAATTTATTAATTATTT